ATCATGAGACACCTTATAGATATATATATATATATATAATTCATGCCATTCATCATGAGACACCTTATAGTACAAAGAAAAACAATCCACATAACAGTTACGGAGGAGTTTGAAAAAATATATATATATAAGGTTTTTTTTTAATAACAGCCATTTTTTATTCTTGCTAAATACTTTTTGAGTATTTACCCAAATTCCCACAAATGTATTCTGTCTCTTCATGTCTCAGAATATGACTTGGAGCCTTGTGATGATCCCGGCGTCCCTGCCTTCAGCCGAAGAATTGGTTTTCACTTCGGAGTCGGGGACTCTCTGACTTTTTCCTGCTTCCCGGGGTATCGCTTAGAAGGTGCAAGCAAGCTTACGTGCCTGGGTGGGGGCCGTCGTGTGTGGAGTGCACCTCTGCCAAGGTGTGTGGGTAGGTGGTCACACGCTTTCATTTCATTCATCCAGTGGGGACAGGGCATGGTGCAGTCAGGACGCAGGGCCGAGTTTGGCAAGGAAGGAGGGCAGGGGGTCCGGGTGGTGGACAGGGGCGGGTGCCCTGCTTCTGGGCTGTATTTACCTTGTGTATAAAGTCAGCCCCTTTCAGCTCTCCAACCTTACGCCTGAAGAAGGGTGAATCTAAAGCATGTGCCAAGCATATTCATGAAGGAAAAATATACACATAACCAAAAATAATCTGGAACAAAAGGAAAGATAAAAGCTGGAAGCCAGCCTGTTCTAACACAACTGTTGGCAATTCTTTTGCTTAAAAGCAGTGAGTATCTCCTGGTATGATGATGGTGACAATTGAAAATACTAGTTTTGTTGTTACTTTTCCATTCAACTCTCTGATTGGATGATTGTGGCACATTCCTGCAAAGCAGGCCTTGTGGAAATTTCAGTGCGGAGTTAGCTCTCTCAATGAGTTCTTGAAGAATCAAGAGGTTGCTCCAGAAACAGGAATCTCTAGCAGGTACTGTGGAACCAGGCTCTGTGCTAACACAGTGGGTTTAGGATGCCCGCTCAGTGGGGTTTCATCTCCTGCTCATCTGGGAATGAGCTACCATAAGGAATGGAGCACAGCCGGGTTGGGCGGGCAGGCCTAGCTAAATACGGGATTCCACCTGCACCTGTGGGGTCTGCTTATCATGCCAGAGATAACGTCTAGCACCTGCCACCTGGCCGTGTTGCTGCATGCGAAGGGCTGATGGTCTGTTCTCTCAAGTTACAGAAAACCACCTAATGTCATCTGGAGATGATTTGTAGCCCTAGCTGTAAACCTTCAGAGTCACGGGGAGTCTGCGATGCCTCCCATTCTAGTCCTACCAGCTGATACAATAGAGGCAGGTGGCAAAGTTGTACAAATAAGATTTCATAACCCATACAACTAATGAATTGTTTACTTAGTGAAACCCATTTTTTTTTTTCCCATGGCAAAGAATCTCTTCAGTTATCAGCATGGTTTAGGGATATTATTAATTCAACTGGTAATACCATCTTTCTGTGTTTTAATGATAGTCCCAGAGTCAGGACTTCATTTACAAAAAATATTACACAAGTAAACATGAATCAAATCATCTTTCTCTCTCACCAGGGCATATGTCTGTCAATGTCTATCATCTTGCTTTCTCCTAAAATAGTGGTTCTCACTTTTTTGGGGTTATGATTTTTATTTGAGATTCGGATGCCATTTTTGAACACTGTCTCAAGAAAAAGAGATACAGTATTTTGTACATGATCCTAGGAATTCCTAGAGTTGCCAAGAATCCACGTTCCCCAAAATGACAATTACTGAGCAAGATGGTTTAAGATCTGGATGAAACTCCTATCCCAATGAAATTAAAGCTTTGTTCCACACATGTAGCATTAAGTAGTCTATCGATTATCACATTCTGTTCCCTGTTAGTCTGTTTTATATAGATTCATTATCTTTACACTATTACTCTTGTTATTGGAGTTTTTACATTGTTGCCCAAAATATAAAATAAGAACAAACAGTTAATATCCATTGAGCCCTAATGCTGGACGCCGCACTGCTCTGAGCTCTTTACACGTATTGACTCATTTAATTCCCAGAAATCAATGGGGTAAGCACTGTGCTGTGACTTCCATTGTAGAGATGAGGACACTAAGAGACAAAGGGCCTAGGACCTTTGCCTACCTTCAGGGAGTTCCAGATCAAAACTCAGGGTGCCTGAAAGCAGGCTTCTCCCCACTGTCCTGCCTTGGGACCGCACATGGGGGCCTGGCTGTGCCCTTCCCAAATTTAGCCTCTTGTATTTTTCCCGGCATTTCCTGGATTTCCTTCCAGCCCATCTAGCTACAAAGTTCCTTGGAATAAGCATGTTACTCATGTCAGCAATCCCCTAGCTGTCCCACGGGTTGTCTGGGACCAGTTCGTATTTCTTCTTTCCTCTCAGCCTCCACGTCTGATTGATTAGTTGCTGGTTTTGAAGATTCTGTGTCCCACCTGGTTCTCAAGTCAGGCTCCCCTGACCATTCCGTCTGCCCCAGCCCTGGGAACGCTCTCCCAGGCTCCAGGACGGAGCGCCTGAGGGATCCATCCAAATACAAGCCCCATCAGCGTCCCCCCTTAGGAGAACATAAGTTAAACCCCATAATATTCAGAACAAGCACTGCTGAGCACAAGGCTCATTACTCATGGGGCAGGCTCCCCAGTTCCCTGCACAACTCACTTCCATCCTGAAGCGTGGGCATGGGAAGCCTGGCAGGCTCATGGTCACCATGGTTCTCTTTCCCTCCGTGTCACTGTCTGCTCCCTCACCCACCAACGCACATCCTGCTTTCCAGTCAGGCTTACTCTCTCTCATTTTTCTGAACTCCTCTTACTCCTGAGCTGTCTCTCCCTTGTCACCTACTGGCTGATGGGGGAGCCTCCCTCATCACAGCTCGACTCCATTAAAGTTCCTCCTCGCTGGTCTCCCATTAGGATGACCTTTCTTTACAGGGGGGCTACTTGATCCCCAAAATCCAGCTCTGTGCCTTATTCGAAAGATGCTTGTCAACACTAAAGATTACTTTCCTTTAAACTTCTCTCTTGATCTCAACACTTTGATTCTGTGTCTGTGTTTCTTCTTTTAAAATCACAGAAGTAAGAGTGATTGATCCATAGCCAAAAGTTGCAAATCCATTCCAGAGATCACAAGGGACATTGGAAGAATGTCAACTGAATTTTGTTTTTCCCTAATAAGCATCTCATCTGAAATAGAATTTCTAGTGAACACCTAAATTAAGAACTATTTTTCTCTTCATCAGTTCACTCAAAAATTAAAGAGAAATGATCTTTTTGTTTGCATTTATTCATTTTAGGGCTATTTGCACCTAATTATTTAAGGTATTGGAAATAATATTATTCTGCACTCCATGATGCAAAACAAAATGTGCAAGCCCTTTCTTGTGCCACTTTTGCATTACATTATATGTGTATCATTCAATATATGTCTTTTTTTTACAAGTTAAAAAGGTGTCCATCTGGTTTAAGTAAAAATGAAGGTGTACTGGTGATATGCCTAATAGTCATAAATTGGGACAACTTCAGGTGAGGTTTGATCAAGAACTTGACTTTGTAACTGAGGCCTTGTTATCTGTTATCTCTCGTCCTGGGGACTGGCTTTATCCTCAGGCTCCACATGCCCCCGGCGGAAGCACTGGGCAGCTCCCTGCTCTGCCCAGGGTGCTTCCTCAGACCAGGCTTTCATATCAGCATATAGTGCTTTAATGCCAGCATCATGCTGCCCAGTGAATCAATTTTCCCAGGGGTTGGCTTCCGTGTGATACCTGGATTACCTCTGATTGGCCCAAATAGAGTCACATGCCTGTTCCTGACGAATCACTAACCAGGACAGTTCTGGTTGTCTTAGGATATTTAGGGGCCAATCTGCATGGGTGTTAAATAATGAGGAAAAGTACATATTTTATGATATTTGTGATATTTTGTAACATCTTCTTCCATCTTCTTGGAAAACAAACGGGCAGAGGAAAGCAGACATAGTTCAAATGAGTATCCACTAGAATTCCCTAATCTAATATTGCATCTATGAACACACATTTTTGAACACAGAATTTTCTCAGGCAGATTATGATAAGCCTCTATTTCTACATCAGATTAATTACCAAATAATATCTGCTGAGAGAATTAAAAAAAATCAATGAAAGCAAGAGTTACCCTGTTGAATATCTGCATTAATTCTATTTGTTGGACAAAGTATAGTGTCCTTGGATGGAATAAAATGGGGTAAAAAAGTCAACAGTATTAGACTCAACTATATAATGGACTACAAATATTTCAGAGAGGCATAGAAGAACAAAAGAGCTTGTCTGTATTTTGATAAACTAAATTTAACTTTAAATCTTTTGACCAATTCTATCTAAACATTATTTTCCTATGCCAACCGATCTATTGTTTCAATTTCTTTCTTTAATTCTTAGTTTAAAACTTTGAAACAAAATTAAAAACTGAAACTAATCTCTGTTGAGTCTTAAAAGTTAACTCAATAATAGCATTAAATTAAGGAAATAAAGGTTCATAGGATAACAAATTGATTAAAACTAGGAATAGCATTTTATACAATTCTTAAGTATTCTTTGTGAGTAAAAATAAGATTGCACATTTTAAATAATATAGGCCATATATGTGTGTGTGTATATATATATACACACACACATATATATATAAAATAGAGTTCATATGTTTACAGACTCTAAACAATAAGACTTCATATACATAGTCACATACATATATATGTATATACTGATAGCATTTACTGATTTTATTTTAGGAACCAAAATATTCTTGGTTTAAAGCAGAAAGGAAGTAGGTTTTCTGTCTCCCTTTCATAGTCAAGCTACTTTCAATGTCTGTGCTCTTCAAATAATGCTCTCAAAGCATATACATATGCTAATTAATGTAAAATAATCTATTTACAATTTCAGAATGTTCTCAAAGGCCCCACTGCAATTTCCACAAAACTTGCATAACCACCACTAAACACCTCACACCCAGCCACTTTGTTAAGAAAGGTCCCTGTGGCATGAGAGACCCTGTGTATCCTGAGTTCTTGAGCAAGGGAACTTGAATCCAGCTTCTTCCGTGTATACAGAGCACACAGTCAGTGCTGTGGGTGCTGGCTTTCCAGCCTCCAGAGCTGTGAGGGGTTTTTGGTTATGGTAGCCTGAGCTGAGTAAGTTTGGCTTCACAGGTAGATACTTCTCACAGAAGAATATATGGGAAATCAACTGGCTCCTTTCTATTATGTTAATTTAATTTTAATTAGTTCATTTCCATTACAAAACCGTAAATGACAATCCGATTTTAATTACATTTTCAGTAGGTTCTTTATAAAAAGAACAAATGATTCATCTTAAGCAAAATTATATCCATTCATCTTAAAGTAATTTTAAATGGATTATTGA